AGTTGACTAGTATTTCTTCCTCTTAAAAAGAGGTTTCTTCACCTCTCAGTGTTCTCCAGGCTTCGCATTTAGAAATGCTTATTTCAAAGCTAGGTCATGTGAGGAGAAAGAGCTTAATAAATCTTAGTTCAGTTGCCATCTTTCCCTTAGTTTAGTGAGATGAAGTTGTCAAATTAACTTGATTAATGTTCTATTACTGGCAAAGTAAAAGTGAAAGAAAACAAGCCAACAGTTTCTCTCAAAGTCTTTATGCAAGCAAAAGTATATAAAGGTGCCAGGTGAATAAATTGTTTAAAAGGGTAAGAAAGGAAAGATCTAGGGAGGGCTGGCCCCTCTAACAGCACAGCGGCCACTTATAACTCACATTCCTTGATTTTATCAGATCCATTCAGTCCTGGGGATACGGCTCTGTAATGAGTCCCTTGTTGGCGGCCTCCACACGGGGTGTGTGTGAGAAAAATCTTCTCTCACTAATGTTTAAACAATCATCCCTATTGAGTTCAAGTCCGGCAACCTAACAGAGAGGCTCCAAGTGAGGGGCTATTTTGGCCAGAAGCCCTTCTTCCAGTTGATTAATAACACGTTGGAGGCTTCCCAAAAAAGATGACAAAAAGAAATTGCATTCAGGTGGGGTAGACAAAAGGGCTGGCAGGGTGGAGACTTCCCCCATGCCTTCATGGGACGACTTCTTTCTCTAAGGTAGGGCCACCAGGACACTGTAATAATGCCATTATTAGTATCCTATCTGAGAATGAAAACCATAATTCTCTCGATCCGTTACTTACATCAGATCGTTTCAGAGGGCAGCTCTGTTGGCCCGCAGGATAATGGCTGGATTCCAGTCCAGTAGTGTTGGATAATTAGCAGAGAAACTGTAGTGGAAGAATGTAGTACAGACACGTGTGTATTTAACTTCTAAGAAAAAGTTTACTTCAAAATTAGGGAAAGGATGGAATTACATGGAAAGAAAACAACAACAGTCTAACTACCTCCTCTTTCTAGTTCTGATCTACTCCACCTTATTTCTTTGTTCCCTCAGACTCTAAGAAGGAAGGAATGGAAGTTTCCTCCAAAAGCTCCACCCCTCGAGTACGTGCAGAATAGCATGAACTATCTCCAATATACTGATTAGCCAATAGTCAATCTTAAGATCACCTCATTAAGAATAAAACCTCTACACCTCATTGGTTCTGTACTAAACTTGATATTATTGGCTTACAGAAACTTCAGTTTAACCCTTTCATGACCGAAGGGATGATACTTGCAAACCACAACAAGGAGGCAACATGATTTTGGGGGATATAAGATTTTGAATGTCAAATCTCCCTTTGTCAGACACCAATGAAAAGACTCTCGAAAGCTTATACCCCAGAAATCTTTATGGTCTCTAAGGTGCTTCTGGACTTGAATGTAGCTGTACATACATCATGAGGCATCCACCCACTGCAGCTTCAGCATCACCACCTGCCACATGGCGATCACTGCACAGGCATGGCTCATCAGGAAGGTGCTGGGATAGCATGGCCAGGGCTCCTGCTCTGGTCTCCCCATGGGGAGAGGTGAGGGACAGGCAAAAGCCACAGTGCTGATATTTGTCTCCGCAAACTGTGAAAAGATGGAACAGGATGGCCCAGCTGATGGGCTGCCTTGAAGATCTATCATTTTGGGAGGGATGCTGCTCCACCCCCCACTGAATCCATGGCAGCAGTTCCCTTACTTCCACCTTCACCCTGGGTTCCCTCCGCTCCCCCCCCCCAACTGCATGGTTTATTGGATGCCATCAGTGCTGGGGGAGACTTTGGGATCCACGGACACCTACCATGCCACAGCAGCCACGCACCGATTTGAACCGGGACATAAATAGGGGTAATGGGGTTCAAGCCCCCCCCCATTTCCCGGCAGAAGGAATCTGTCCCACCCACCCCCAAGGCTGCCAGGTAGCATCTTGAAGCTGCTCAGGCTGTCAGGTTCTCAAGTTCAGTCAGTCCTGTTTTCCTTTATAGCAACTTAACAAGTTCCTAGGAGGCACTTGGTTATGGCAAGGATTTTGTTTTTGCAAAGATAAGAGGGGGAGGAGACTTTAGGTGAATATTACTGTCTGTGAAGAAACAAGAGAGAGAGAGAGAGAGAGAGAGAGAGAGCGCATGGAAGGGGGAAGGGAATCGATCTATCTAGCAATCAGGAGGTCTCCGTGGTTGGACTGAAGAATGTATTTCCTGTAGTTTGCAACACAAACTCTGATGTATGTACAGCTAGATTCGAGTCCAGGAGCACCTTAGAGACCAACAAGATTTGGGGGGTATAAGCTTTTGAGAGTCAAAGTTTCCTTCACTGGTGTCTGACGAAGGGGGCATGTTGACTCTCAAAATCTTATGCCCTCTAAAACTTGTTGGTCTCTAAGGTGCTCCTGGACTCGAACCCAGGTGTTCTGAGGCAGGGGCCATCATGGTTACCCTCTGATACGATCTGATACGAGTAATGGATTAAGAGAATTGTGGTTTTCATTCTCAGATGGGATACTAATAATTTCATCATTACAGTGTCCTGGTGGCCCTGCCTTAGAGAAAGAAATGGCCCCCACTCCATTTTATCTTCTGCTATGGGGAGAATGTTGCCAAGGATCGCCTTCCTACCTAGATGTGTGCTGCCTGCCCGGATTCCATCCTGGCTAAATTCACCTTGGCAGCCATGTTAAGAGCTGGCAGTGCCTTGCTTTGGAGAAGGTGAGGTCAAGACTCTCCTCAGGCTATGCTAATGAATGCCCAAAACCCTGGGCAGGAAACTGAATCACCGATGGGACATCTGCACGTCCACCCTTTGCCACAAGGCCTTGCAAAGCCAGGCACCCACTTTAGTCTATCAAGGTAATTTCATCAGCCAATATAACCCTTCCTGCTTGAGTGCAAAATCTAATTACTGTCAAGCAGCCAGGTGAGCTGATTCCCTTTGGCTGATCTTCCCTGACTGTCTCCTAGCCTACCAGCCTGCTCCAGGCATTGGGGAAGCCTCCACCCTGCCAGCCCGTTTGTCCACCCTGCCTGGACACAGTCAGTCTCCTTTTGTCACCTTTCCTTTGGTTATGGCAAGGAGGAAGCCTCCATCCTGACAGCCCTTTTGTCTACCCTGCCTGGTTGCAATCTCTTTTGCCACCTTTCTGGGAAGCCCCACCTCCCCTTAACTTAGAGCCAGGAAATCCATAGATTCTCATCTTGGACTCACCCTGAATTCCTGGACCTTGTCTCTTTGAAATTCTTTTGTGCTGTTCTGCCAGCGAAAACTTTGCAGTCTCATCCTCTCCGCTTGCACAGGGGCTGACAACTCTTCTTTTCTTTCTCTGGGACTTTGGGACATTTACTTGCCACCCGGGAACACCCCTCCACTGCCTTACCTTATTCTTCTTTGGGATCTTTGGAAGCCCTGACTAAAACCCCTAATCTCAACCTGTGGATCATTGAAACAGACAATGTACTGGAAGTCAAAGTGATTTTGGTATCTTGGGACTTGCAGCATTGGAGAAAAAGAAATGAAAGAAATGGGAATATTGTTGCCTTTAGCCGTGTTTGTTGTGGGGGAGGGAAGAGGCCTGTGGCTTAAAAACTGGAAGTTATGGAAATTTTGGTATCCTGAGACCAGCAGCTTTAGAAGAAAAGAAACAGAAGATATGGAAATAGCCATAGTCTGTGTATCTATACACGGGAGGGAAGGTGATAAAGCTGGTTCAAGAGATATAGAAAATGAGATAATTCTACTTCAACCGAAGAAACGCTCCCACATTTTCTGGCCAGGGTACCTGAGAAGCCAGTATTAACTCTGAATTCTGAGATGTATTTGGAGATTTGTGCTGAATATCACTGAGTATGTGAGGGTGGTATAGCTAAGACCGGGGAGACCAAAGTTCAAATCCCCACTTAGCCACGAAGCACACCGTGTGACCTTGGGCCAGTCACACACTTGCAGCCTAAGTTGTGAGGAAAAGAGAAAGGGGGGGAGGAAGTTTTTCCTTTCATACACAAATGAAATAATTCACTCAAATTTTCTCAGTGAAGGATTTCATGACATCTTTCCTCTCCTCTTACAGAGCCCTCTTTCTTTGACTGAGGTTCAGACTATTACGAGTGAAAAAAATTTATATTTTTCAAACTACATGATTGTTGATGGCATTTTTGAAATATAAATATCTCATAATTAAGTAATAATTTCATAACTGAATACTTATATGGATAGTAATCTATATTACTGGGCCTGGACCAGGTTCAGCCCGCTGCCCCGCCCCTGAAAATTGAGACCTCTATGCCCTTGGTGTGATCTGTATCCTTAGCACATTAATGCCCACCTCTGTCAGCCAGACTGATGTGCTAACTAATCTACTGTCCCTGCTCCGAGCATTGTAATTGTGTCCCCCCCCTTAGTTGTAGTGTGCTCACTGCTGTACGAATTGCTGTCCCACAAAGGTAACGGAGACGATCACCTCTGAAAGGACAAGAAAATCTCATTTTCGAATTGTCCCCTGGAGTGAAATAACAGCTTGGCAATGCAGCCATTCAGCCAGGAGCTTGTCAAGTCAGGAACAGCCGCCAATCGTTTCAGGTGGGAGGGGGGAGAGAGAGAGAACAGGGTTTTTTTGGTTTCTGGTTGGGAGCAGCTATTCACAGCGCCAGCTATTCACGTGGGATGGCATGCGAGATGCGCGTTTTCTGCGGGGATGAACCATTTGGGAAGGAACCCAGAGGGGGGGGGGCTGTGCAGGAAGCCACCCCAACGGTCTGGAGAAACTCAGGTGACTACAAATCCCAGACACCTCAGCTCTCTGGGTGGCTTCCTCACTCCACCCTACTGCGCCCTCCGCCAGCTGGGCGAGCGCCAGAGAGCCTCCGTCTTCCAGGCGCGGCGGCGGCGGCAGCAGCAGGTGGCTGCGCGCGTCCCCGCCAGACCAGGGTGGGCTGTCTCGAGGGGCTCTTGCGCCGGGCTCCTCGGCGCTGCCTCACCTGGCGGAGGTGGGCATGGCCGCGCCCGCGCTAAGCCAGGCGGCCGTGCTGGACTTCTTGCAGGAGCACGGCGGGAAGGTGCGCAACTCCGAGCTGCTGAGCCGCTTCAAGCCGCTGCTGGAGCCGGCCGGGGGGGATCCCGACCAACGAGCCGCCCTCCGCGACACTTTCAAGCACTTTGTCAACAGCGTGGCCGTCGTGAAGGAGCAGGACGGGGCCAAGTTCGTGGTGCTCCGAAAGAAGCTCCCGCGCGCCTGGGACGGAGCGGGGCCGCCGGACGCGATGCCCGCCGAGGAGGGGCGGGGAGGGGAGAGCGGAGGCGTTTGCGCGCCGGCCCGCTCGGCCACCGCGGAGGTCCCTCGCCTCTCCCTCGAGCAGGAAGCCCCGGAGGAAGACCAGGCCATGCCCGTCTCCGAGCTGAAGAGCCTCTTTCAAAAGGGGGACCCGGAGGGGCCCAAAGTCCCCAGTGGCGCCGACGGGTGGGCCCCCAGAGGCCCCCCACAGAAGCCCTGCATGTTGCCCGTGCGCTGCGTGCTGCCTCCCCGGGCTGCCGAAGCCACCGACCAGCCTGCCTCCGAGCCGGAAGAGCCGGAAGGCAAAGCCCGGCTGCAAGTGGGACCCTGGGCCAGCATCCCGTCTCGGTCGCCTTACTCGAAGAGGCGGCAGCTCGATGAATCGGGCTCCACCTCCCCTTACCTGCGAAGGGTGCAGAAGGCGCAAAAGGTGGGCGAGGAAGCTGCCTGTGAGGCCACTGTCCCACTGGATGCTGCTGAACATGAGTGGTTGGTGAAAGCTACAGATGGCCAGTGGTCCCAGCGGCTCCACGGCCTCTTACTGAGCGACAAGAACCTGGCAGGCAAAAGGGATTTTATGTCCGGCTTCACTGCTCTGCACTGGGCTGCTAAAAGTGGAAACTGTGACATGGTGAATAAAGTCATAGAGGTGGCAGAGAAAGGTGATGTTCATGTCAATGTGAACACCAAGTCCTATGGAGGTTATACCCCACTCCATATTGCTGCAATACATGGACAAGAGGAGATCATTGCCCTGTTGGTCAAAGATTACAATGCCAAAGTGAACTTGAGAGACTACAGTGGGAAGAAACCCTATCAATACCTAAAAGAAGGCTCTTCTTTTGCAGTTAGGCATCTCCTGCGTGATCCAGATCTGCACACAATCACTGGCCACAATGCCTCTATCAAGAAGAATGCGAAGGTGGCTGCTTCAATTTTGAGTTCTACCAGCACCTTCCTTGGTGTTTTGTCTGATGACACTGCTTTCTATGAGCTGACCAAAGGCTTAAAGAAGCCTGCTTCACTTAATAAGTTTCTTAATGCAGCTACAGCCCCAAGGAGGAAGCTGAAATCTAGAGGGACTTTCTCATCATATTCTTCCTTATCTGAATCATTGGAGGAGGACCAGGAGGAAGCCACAACGAAACGAAGACCTGTTTCAGAGTTGTTTTTTGGTCACTAGTGTCTGCCTCACTGGAATCAAGTAATATGAACGTTAGAGTGGACTTACTTGATTATTCTTTCACAGAAGCACTTTGTTTTTGTATTTCAGTTGTGTTCCTCTTTAGCAGGTCCAATCAAAAGACTGGAAATAAGAATCTCTGTAGGATTGTGTAAACATTTTAATTGATACAAATTTCACCTCACTCAAGATAGCGTTTTTCACTGAGAATAAAATTGATTTGGCAGAAAAAATTATCCTTAATTGATTGATAGGAAATGTTTGGTTTAACTCTGGTAACTAATTTAGATGTACATTACATTAGCATCAGTTTGGAAAGCATCTCTAAAGGGTCTGAATGAAAGTGTTTGCCTTGGATGGATGCTAGTGCATATAAAGGCAATGCATCCTAAGAACAAAAATACATTTTGGTTTAGCTTAGTGATCTATTCCTTTCAAGAGCACTCGTGATTTTATAAATCAAATGTATCGTTTAAATATTCTGATTTGGAAATTAGAGTTCCTCTGGGGGTGTTCAGAGTTTCCTAGTCAGCTCTGAGAACAGACGAATGTGCTAATTAAAAAGAAGCCTTTCTTAAATTAATACTGTGTATTTTCAGTAGCATTCTGTAAGCTTCAGATGTTTCTTATGATGGCCAGTTTAATCTCTAGTGAATCCTATGGCTGAAAACCAAGGAAAATTTACAATCTTAATCTGCATTCTTCTATTAAAGTGGCTGCTAAAAATTCAAAATAAAGACAGTTTCCAGTGGCACTATGGAGAGGAGGGTATTTGACTAAATTTTTAAAAAAGAAAAACCTAATTACAAGATACCATTTGCCAGCAGGCAAATTAGACAAGTATTTTACTATGTGTGAAATACAGAATGTGAAGTTAAATGAGAAAACCAGCATTAATCAACTTAAAGAAATCCCCAACATGTCTACCTCACTGAAATATCTTTATGTGGCCAATTCGTTATGTCTTGTTTCATTCAGGGGGGGGGACCCCTAAACATACTTGCTGCAAACTAATTAAATACTCCATAGTTCTGACTGCAGTGACAAAATGTAATACAGCTGTTTGGAATCTGTTAAAATGATGTTTTAAAGTGAAGCTGCAAGAAAATGTATTTAGGCTACATATTTTTATATGAGGAATACATTCCTAGAAATATAATAATTTAGGCAGTTATTTTTTTATTGCTCACTGTATAAAAATTGTGATCTGTCTTGACATCTTTACAATGCTGAATTTTTAAACGATGGATGGATGTGCTAAATCATTGTAAAGTGCAAGAAAGCAGTATGTGTATATCAGTTATACAAATATTTATTTAAAATACATTGTTGTGGGTCTGTGGGCAGTTTTTAGCATGATGTCAGTCTAGATAATACTTTGCTTAGTGTTCTTGTAAATATGGGTAATTATCATCCCATTTTACAAATGGATGGTCCATTGTTAATTTATCTCAATACAATTTACTGTTCAATGGATTTCTGTGGAGACTCACAGACTGACCCTATGTGTTTTTACTTGGAAGTTTATCCCACTGAGTTGCAGAACTTATTCCTGGGTAATTGTACATAGTACTGAAGCTCAGAAATGTTTTACATGGTATTTACAAACACCTTTGGTCCTCCCTTGTGTGGTTAGTGCCAGGTGTAAATATTGTTAATTGCTTGTAGGGTTGCCAACTGCCTGGAGAGAGAAAAATGTCCCTTTAATAGAGCTTTAATGTGTAGCTTCAGTTTTTTATGGCACAAACAAGACATCAACTGGTAAACAACATCCCATTAAGTTTCTGTTAAAGGAACAGGATGTCATTTTCTTCTAGGCATTTCATAACCCTATTAATCATGAACCGAACATAGAAGAGATATCAAATGCCATTGAAGGTTTTACATTTATATGGGAGACTTATTTTTTTTAACTGAAAGCCAATTTAAACCTTGTGTGATACACCCTACACTGGATGACATTTTGATATATGCGTGATGGTGTGGTTATCACTTAGGGTTGTCAGTCTTTTCCTTGTAAAGCTTCTGTGTCTTTGTCATTTGCTCAACAGGCAAAAATTCATTGCTCCCATGTCCAACTGAGAAAATATTCACTTGTTGAATTGTAATTCTTATTGTAGATTCTCATGTAAAGCCACAGGAGCCTTACAAGAAAAATACATGATAACCTTATATTCAGCACTAGGACATGCTGAATGTAAGTGTTTAATAAGTGTTAAAGTGAAAATACATAAGCAGAAAGGTGAATTTTCTTTGCAAGATTGTTTTCTTAGTACTACTTGGGACCATGCTTGTGCTTAAAGCCAAATGCCAGCCATTTGTTCTGCTAAGTATTTGAAACTATTTTACCCTTGCATGACTTATGCTGAATAACAACACATAAGTGGAGTATGCATTTATGTTCATAAACACTCCATTTTAAGAATATGAGTTTCAAGACTGGAAATACTGTGATTCAATCCATGCAGGATCCAGTTCACAGAGAACAAAAGTAGTACAAACCATAGTCTCATAAAACAACTCTTCATGGAATTCTGTTTCCTTGTACTGTGTTTGTAGGCCATAATAATTTTTAATTCTTATTTTTTAAAAATCCATCTTCCTGCCACATCATAATGAACAAACAAGCTATCATACATAATTATAAAAGTCTGCTTGCTAAATCCTTGTTAGGCATTTTACATTTCAACAGTGATTTGTTTCTGAAACACTCTGAAATTCTTTTCAAGGTCAGTGATTCTTGGAATGTTTTGATATCTGCTTTGCAATAATAAATGCAGTATTTCTTACCTCTGATTGTGTATGTGTAAAACAGACTTTACTCATTCGTCCCACACATTCTACTCAGTGTGCTTCGGATATTGGAAGATGACAATTGTTTCCTGTTCCAGTTCTTAGCAATTAAGTTTCACACGGTGACCACAGTGGATCATAGAGTGTTCAGGGCAAAACAGATATGACAGTGGCAGAACCGTGTTTTAAAATATAGGTCTAGTTCAGTTACACAAAAAAGACAGTGGGGTCCAACATTCATAGCA